AGCCGTGCGGAGGGTGAAGAAGACATGGTTTTGCATGGACAGTAGCCCCTGGAAACTGTCTACAGTGACATACTGGGACGTGTTTCCTTTTTTGGGGTTATTCATCCAGCACTCGAACGGGCCAAAAAAAGGGCAGTCTCCCAGATGTTTGCAGGGCTGATGAGAGGATCTGCCTGAGAGACCTCCCAGGCGACCTGGAAGCTTTGGGACGAGTTCGCCAGTTGCTTCCGGGTCCTATTCAAAGACCAAGGCCCGAGTCGTGACGACATCCGTACCGCTCCTCCCAGTTGCGCTGCCACAGCTCGCCCTCAGTGAAACTGCCGCTCGGTTCGCCCTCATGAGGGATGTGATGTACTAGTCAACCTGCTTGTGCATTGAAAACACTGTGAAATGCACAGAAAAATGCACAAACATAGAACCGTGGTTCATCCATTATCCTTTCACTGTTGGAAACACATCCAACCTTTGCAACTGCTTGCCAAACGCTGTGTGACCCTGGGTCAGTTGGTCGTCCCACTCCTGCTGTGTTCAGTCTTGACTTAGGTGTACAAACTCTATGCATTCACGCAGGCAAACACATGCTCTACTTCGAAACCACGAACATGGCAAACTATGCCGCCTGAATGTTACAAGCATGGGGTACAGTAGGTGTCGCATTGAAACATAGAAACATCTAAAAACAAACCTTACATACTAACTACATGAATTAGAGTGTCACTGCTAACCTAACGTTTTGCACTTTGCTCATATCCCCTTGAAGGCGTTTTTTTTGTCAGCAGCTTGACCAATCCAAAGCAATCCAAAGGCTGGGATCCATTTGTGCCCACCGTTCAATGGTAACTGTCTGGATTCACAGAACACGCTTGCCCACAAAGCACTATGTAAGTATTGCGTCTTGCATCTGTATATATGTCTAATTGTTCGAATCCACAGAGTGGGTGAAACACCTACACAGCCTGGCAGGGCTGTCACGGAATGATTCAAAACGTCTGATCATCATCCTTTTCCCTGGAGCCCTTCTTTTTTCGGCTCATCGGGTCTTGTTGAGGCCAACACTGTCTTCAGCCAGGTTTGGACCCAGTTTTTCAAATAGGCCTCACCATGCGCATCAGTGACCATGTCTCCGCGTGTGCCGAAAGGCGTCGGGCTAGAGGCCTGCATGATCTGCATGTTAGTCCAACATTGTTGTTTGACATAACATACATACTGTATATATTGGTGAACGCCAATTTGGTTTTGGATGATAGCCTTGTGTTTATCCCATGGTTCCAATCGAGCTTGACTTTGGACCTGTCGTTTTCGCTGCCCCTGCAAACATATTGCGTCAGCAGCGACGTGCTGGAACATTACAATGGCATGGCGTGTGCTACGAGTCTGACAAATGAAGCTGTTGGACAGTGCTCGGTACCCTGGCATGAGTCTCCTTCTGCAAGTTTGGGTCAGAATTGCCTGGCAAGAATGAGGAAACTCCTTGGAACAAGCAGCGAATATATGTCAGCATACAAGTCGCGCAATGTCTAAATAAGGACGACACTTGGTTTTCTGAAACATATTGTCTTTCTATTTACAATCTTTCTTGGTTTTCTCGGAATGACACCGCGTTCATCGTGTTCGTTCGTTCCGTGCCTAACTGAGCGAAAAGCCTTTGAAGCCACGACTGCAAGGCCGGTGGGAATTTGGGACCGCCTGGTTTTCGGCGCCGGGATGGCTGCGGAACCAACGTAGCAATGTCTGACATGTCTGATATCATCTCTGCCAAACTGCGTTAAAATTGTATCAGAACTGGCTACAATAATATGCTACAATTGGTATAGCCTGGATCTTCCAACGGTCGTTCTGGTTATTGATCCGGTTTTCCGCGCAAATGGCTGCCAATCAGCGCAAACGGCAAAACGACCGATTGGCGCAACAAAAAAACACAGCAAACGACCACAAACATCCACAAAAGAACGCAAAGCGAACAAAACGACCAAAACCACCATAAACCAAAAAACAACCAATTTTTGGGGGAGTTGGAAGGTCCAGGAAGAATGACAGTATTTTACATTGGTTGTATGGCTGTATGTTTTGTTGGGTCAGTTGGGTCATCCATTCTCAAACTTGCTCTCTTGTTGATGTAGCTGTTTTCAAACATACTCTTTGGAACTTTAGGAACCAGGTACGTTCAGGTGTATTAAATACAGGAACAAAATTCAGCAGGAACTACTCTGCAATACAATAGAACTTGGTACGCATCTCGCATGCATGTACACCACATCTGCTTTGGGGCATGACTTTGGGTTTAGCTCTGAAGGTATGTCACTCTGCTGTCGGGACACCAAGTGCTGCTGCCCCTGCTGCAGGATTTGGAGCGCTGGACGGCCGCACCACCGTCTGTGTCTAGGCAACGGAGCAACACTTTGGTGACATGGCTGCACGGCTATTTTGTGTCTCATTGGTGTTGAGTGGGTCAAGACTGAAGTCAACTGCAGTTCTTTTGATGTGGATTCGATGAAAGTTGAAGCTTTGGGGAGAGAATCCCACCAATGGTGGCTTGTCCGATTGACCTGCAGGAGTTGTCCAACGTCTTTACTTTCATTGCCAGAAAAGAAGAACATTCCCCACCAAACCACATCTTTCTGTCGACGTGTGTCCGACTTTCCCACCCTTCTGTCCCCTTCGACGTGTGGCGCCCGGCTCCGGCTCCTTTGGGGCGTCCGAAGGAGCCTGCCCAGCCCTGGTCGAGAATCAATACGGATGCGACATTAACATGAACAGAAAACATGGACATCCGACATAGATCTGTCACCATCATTTCTATTGACATGCTGACAAAAAAAAAATCAAACACTTCGTGGCTAACTTGCCGAGTCTGCCCCAAAATATGTCTGATGAGGTGCAAACAAGGATCTTATTGTTTCAATTGCTGCACTTAAATTATAACATTATAGTTTTTGCCTTTGGAAGAAATCAAAACGGTGCTTGCCTTGCACGTGGTTTTGCACGGAACAAATCAACTTGCATATTGAGCAGCCCAAAGGGCCTACAAGTAGCAATTATTAATGCAAATACCGTTTCGTTGTCCTCTGTTAAACTGAACCCAACCTTGTAAAGAAAAGAAGGGGCCTGTTGCATGCGCTCCTGCTGTTGCGCTTGCTGCATCTGCATTCGTTGCGCGGGAGTGCCGCCCTGGAACAACGGAACATATACAGTACACACAGTGTACACAGTCTGAGAACGTCCAAAGAATAACGGCACAAGCAAAGACTCCTGCTGAAATGAGTACCGAAATGGACACCGAGAAGCTGATGATCCCTGGAAGTGGCTGTTAAACAGCCCCTACCATTGGACTGTGGTCAGGGGCGAGGTTCCATTTCAGTGTCTGGCCATTCAAAAGAAGACATCGATTCAGCTTCATCTCATTTTTCTTCGAAGGGATTGCCTTCCATTGCAAGAATCAACAGCTGAGTCCAGTCTGTCGAAAGGGTGTACGGCATGAACACGCTGAAACGACCAAAACCAAAACACACATATTTGCATGATCCTCCGGTTTGGCCGAAACTGTTCCAAAAAGGAAACAGTTAAGTAGCAGCTAACAGGGTAACTCATCCTTTTTGGGTCCCAGTGGTCACTGTCAAAATTGCTATACATACATGCTGCGTCTATCACCTAGTCCGAAGTATGGGTCATACTAGATCTGACCCGCCTTCATCATGGTCATCACCGGTCGCTGTCCCGGACGGCCTGCGCAGCCACATGATCAGGAGTGTCTCAACATGGAGCACTGCGGCAAAAATGGTGGTTTTCTCGCCCCTGGTTGTCTTGCTGCAGGGGTTTGTCAAGTCTGCTGATTCTGAGGTCAACCCCCAAATGCATCCAAGTACATTCGCGCGGAATCCCCATGTGCTGCATATACCGGGTTGATCCAGGTTGGTTCCAACGCTAAGTCACGGCATTGCGACTGCAGTTCCAGCCTGCGCAACCATTGGCATCCATTTGTTTGCCTTTGCCCATGGCTTTGCCTTTGGACATCATCATATTCATGCCAGCCATGCCCATTCCGGCCATGTTTCCGTCCGCCATCTTCTCCTCCATGCCACTCATGCCTTTCCCCATCTGCTCGCCACACATTCCTCCCATGGCATTGTTCATGCCTTTGCCCATGCCCATACACCCCATGCCACCCTTGCGAGCCATTCCCATACTTCCCATGTTCATGCTTGGCCGCACGCCTCCCATCCCACCCATTCCGCTCCAGATCGAGCTGGTCGGACCCTCGCCCATCCGAGAGGACATGGATGTACCTCACCGGGACCATCCGCGACTCGATCCGATCCGGGTCGTAACGACCCATCTACCACGACCACCGTGCTGCGCCCAGCGTGGTGATGTTCGATCGATCCACAATGTCAAGACTAGGTCCATAATAGATTCATATTCATATTAGATTCCTTTCTGCTGAGTAGTTGCTCCAATGGTCCAACAAACGCTTGTATAGTACATTGTCAAATCGATCCTCCTGATTCTGATTGTGTATTGAACTGTATGTAGTGGCATTGTTGCATCTGTCTTCTGTTGGATTGTGTAGTACAACATAGTACTACCCAAGAAGGGCAACTCTGTAATTATTGGAACTCTTCTGCCTTTGTTTGAGGAGCTTCGACAAGGATGTGAAACCTCTCTCTACAGGAGGCGCACCCATTCCACCGGATGCCTGTGGGCAGCAACGAATCATTCTTCGGCTCCAAGGAAGTCCAGTGAGTTGAGGAGATTTGATGTGTGCTCTTTGCCATCAAGACTTGCATTCACTGATGGGTCCAACTCACGGTTTCAAACAGAAACAGTCCGATTTTCTTCCGCCTTCTGCTTCCTTGTGCAACTCATTCTCTGCTCCTTCTCACTGAGCAAAGCAACCTACAATTGCCTACAATTACAACCTACAGGGCTGAGCCATCCCTGTGTGATTTCTGGATTTCTGGCTCAAGGCACGTGTGAGTAATGCTTGGCGATATCAGGATCATCGGGATATCGGGTTCACTATCTCACAGGGATCTGATGGTTCAAGGCTGTTCAAACAGAGATTTGACAGAGGCACTGCTCATGAAAAAGACTTTAATGCCTACTTGCACAACGCTGTATCGGATGTAAAGGGGAGCCAAGAGTCTGTTCCGTTTTGCGGACATGGCCTTCGCTCGCGATTACATCCGTGTTCATGCAAGCTCCAAAGAGACCAGTGTGCCCAAACTTTTGCCTGAGTGTTGTACTTCAGGCCTTCTCAAAAAGAGGACTCTCTGGTGCCTTGGAGGAATTCTTCAAAATCGAGCAGGCTCTTGAGGGCTCATGGGAGCCATGGTGAATCTCACGGGAGCACCAGGTCCTCAACCTTCAGGCAAGCGTTGCAAGCCACAAGTGCAACAGTGATCTCCAGAATCTGTAGAGGAATGGTATCAATTCAACAATTTTTGTGACTACAAATTGAATTTATTGTATATACTATAGAAACATCATGAGACATCCATTGGCTGCCAAACCAATCCCCAATGAACATCATCAAACTGGAACAGCGGGCGCCAACCCTTTTCAGTATAGGTTCCCAACATTTTATCCTCCACCCGAACTGACATCCACCACAAGAGAGTATCCTGTGCGTATATATATATATACATGGGTGCCTTCTTTGTCTTCCAACTGTTTCTTTTGCCCCACCACCATGACTCTCACCGGTTCTTTACCCAACCTGCTCTGGCTCGCATGAGATGCTCTCGTAGATCCCTCCCGAACCAGGCCCGCAGTAGCGGCATTGGGGATTCACCCCGTCCGCCCAGCAGCCTTGGCTACGATCGACGAGTTCAATGCGAGACGTGAGGCCCTGTGAGAGTTTTTCTCCGATGAGTGGACCTTGAGGAGTGATGCGAGTGATGTAGCAGCGAGGTGACGCACATGCTTGCACATTGCGAACAGAACAAACGGCGTGTTGTGTTTGCAATGTGCAGGCACAGTTAACAAAAAAATATGGTGGTGAATCTGGTTACTTGATGTTCACCTACCTGGCTTTGGGTGTCTGCGAGCCCTGTATTCCAGCAGATTCGAGCAGATTGGGCGATTGGGTGCATGGCCGATGAGCCGGTGGGTAGACAACGTGGTCAATCAGTCAAAGGCACAGCTTAATATTTTCCATCGTACTTGCAGCGGTTGCCTGCTGAACAGCCACATGAATATGAGCAAACCCAAGCGTTTATGTCTATTAATGATGTGAGAAAACAGGCTGAGCTGGGGCAAAAAACGCAGACGCAAACTGATGCACACCACACCAAAACCTGAACACGGTTTTCTTAGGTTGAATCTCCTACTTCCCCAACGGCAGAGCTTAGGGGTTTGCAGCCACAGTAAAGACTGTGGAACAGATCGGAGCAGGTTCCGGAGCAAGTTCCGGAGCAGGTTCCGGAGCTTCCGGGCAGGTTTCAAGAGTTCTGGAGCAAAATCCGGAGCAAGTTCCAGAGCATGTTCCGGAGCAAGTTCCAGAGCAGGTTGCGCAGGAGGTTCGGAGTTTAGGGCACCGCACAGCATCCGGAGCGCTGTGCAGATATGATGAAATGCCACTATTGTTGGCACGGTGTGGTGCAGTGCTGGCGCGCCACGATACTGGCCTGTTGCCGCGCTGACATGTTGACACGCCATCATCTGACATGCGGTGAGTGCTTGACATGTTGTATTTTTGACACACCAAGGTGTTGCCACGCTGATAGGCTGACATGGTCTCGTGATGTCTCACACCTGTGTGTGTGTGTGCCAACCCCTGCTTCAGGGGACCAATCTTAATCTGCACAGTCACCCCAGCAGGGGGAGTGCAGGACTGACTGACACTACGCGACACTATCCCAACGAAGACACTGTCACCTCGCGGTGAAGCAATGTGGGACGCCACATCGTGCACCTGCATTCAATTTAGAGCTGGTAATGTTGATCTAAACCATACTGTTCAGGCTGACTCCTCACAGTTCCGTTGTGAGCAGGCCTTTTCAGGTTCTCAGGCTTCAGCGCTCTAGACTGGTAATGCAAGATCTAGATCCTAAGGTGCTGACATCTCGAGGCTGCCAAAACTGACATTTGCTCTTGCGAGCCATCTATCTAAGTGTGACCTGCAGTGCCGTCCCACCACGGTCACTGTGTGATCCCGTTCGTCGGGCGCTGAATTCACATATATCCTTGATCCTTAAGAGGGATCTTTCCTGATCGTTCGTCTTTGCACCGGAGCCTCTTCTGATCATTCGTATTTTGCTCGAGAGTGCTGATCGAAAGCCGCAGGGCCCACTGGATTATTCACTGATCAAGTTGCACTGTCATGGGTCCTAACTAATCCGGGAACTGGCTTCGTTTGTAAGATCTGCGTGTGCTGCCTTTCTTCTTTTGTGTTGCCCTCCTCTCGGGGCTTTTTAGGTTGCTTTTCAGGCTCGTTTAGTCGATTTACCCTGTTTCCCCCTAAAAAGATCAATACCCAAGATGCGCCGAACAACGGCTGTTTGTGTCAACCCCTGCTTCAGGGGACCAATCTTAATTTGCACAGTCACCCCAGCAGGGGGAGTGCAGGACTGACTGACACTACGTGACACTATCCCAACGAAGACACTGCCACCTCGCGGTGAAGCAATGTGGGACGCCACATCGTGCACCTGCATT